TGCGGGGAGATACGTGTCAGGCCACGGCTCACGTGAGAGAAGAGCGACGTAAAATTATTTTAAGGAAACACTCTCCAAGTAGTTTGGTGCATAATCGTGGCGATGACACCGCGCGAGGAGCGAGTAGAGACGTCGGCGGTGCGAGAGAATTCGCGTTTCGTTTGCGTTGTGTGTCGATGACACTTTGCGAAAAGAGACGGTAAAAGGTATATCGTCGTCGTCGTCGTTGTAGTCGTCCTCGTCGTCCTCGTCGTCGTCGTAGTCGTTGTCGTCGTCGTTGATGCGAAGAAATCGCATTTGGCCTGTGTCGCGCATGCAAAAAAGGAGAAGAAAAAAGAAAGAGAAAGAGCACGACGAAATTACGGGAAGCTCGATGAGAGACGCGTGTAACCGTTCCACACTCCTCAGCGAAATGGATAAGGTACTGTTTAAGTCGGTAGATTCTCATAAACTCGCAATTCAATTAAGTGACTAACACATCCTCCCGACATCTTTGTGATTACAGTTCTGTCGTAGCGGAGAGAAAGGTAGTCCGAGGTGGCAGGAGGGAGAGGAAGAATGCGGGGGGAACGAGAAAGAGATGCAAGAAAAGTAAATTAATAAAGTTCGCGGGGGACAGAAAAAACGGGAAGCGAGGGAGGCCGTACTTAGCTTCTTCCTCGAGATATATACAATTCTTTTAGCATATTCTAATTTTGCTTTACATATCTTTATGCTTCAAATTTATGAATATTTATTTACTTAACCTCCGGACCATACGTAAACGACATTCTCAGTAATATTCGGAATATTTTGTGTGGAAAGTGATAAACGCGGGAGATACACATGCACACATATACACACGCGGGGAAAGAAATCTCAGCTCGTGCAACTGAGAGTAGGAACGAACCAGACGAAAACTCACGATAGTGAAACGATAGCTCTGTTATCGCGACCAGAAGCATTCGTTTGAACGTTCGACTGCTTTAAAACTCGGTTGAAATAACCGAGGACAATTGACTGAGCAGAAATCTCCTACAGGAATTTTTCTGCTCCTATTTCTCCCATTGCGTGAGAGACAACATATCTAGAAAATAAAAAGGATTCTTTCGGCGAGTACTAATAACGTATACTTAAATCTAAGTTTAATTTAAACAGAACAAACACGATCTCATGAAAGACTAAAAGGTTTTAAGAAAATGAAAAAAGGGAAGACCGGGGCTACCGGAGTAAGTTGGCAAGACCAATTATTTCTATTATTTTCTAACAAGTTACACGATTAAGTAAGCAAGCATTAAAGCAAGATTAACCCATTAAGACCCAAGAGAAAACCGCTAAGGATAGGTTTCAAAAACCATCTAGATTAGGGCAAAACGTCGAAATTTGTTAAAAAGTGAAAAAAAAAATTTGTGTTGGATTTCAAAATTTAAAATGGCGAACCAATATGTCGGTCCGAAAATTTGAAATTTTGACCTGTTGAAAATCGGTATAGGGGAGGTTTGGGGTTCGCTGAGTATGAATATGCATTTATTTTTTCAAAATTCGTAATGGCGGATCCAATATGGCCGCGCAAAAATGCAAAAATTTGACATAGTTTTGTTATTTGGCGAAAAATCCAACCAAATTATAAGCTACCTTTCGAAGATGTTTGTTTTGAGACAAAACATCATACTTTAGCAGACTGTAGAAGAAAAATAGTTTTTTGACTTTAAAAATTAATATGACGGCCAAAAATTTTTAATTTTGATTTATTTAAATGAAAGTACGTTTTGAAAAATTTTGAAAAAATAAGTGCATATTCATACTCAGCGAACCTAAAACCTCTCCTATACGGATTTTCACTCAAATAGGTCAAAATTTCAAATTTTCGGGCCGACATATTAATTCGCCATCTTGAATTTTGAAATCCAACACAAATTTTTTTTCACTTTTTAACAAATTCCGACATTTTGTCCTAATTTAGATGGTTTTTGAAAGCTTATCCTTAGCGGTTTTCTCTTGGGCCTTAATGGGTTAAGCAAAATTGAGTAAATATATCAAAGATGGCGTTGAAATCTCTGCTTACTTAATTCTGAGGTCTATTAAAAAATAGCAGAAATAATCGATTTTGTCAACTTATCCTGCTAACCAACTAAACCCAGTCTCTCCTATACTTTCTTATTTGGAAAATAAATAATTTTCTAAATAAGAAAATTATTCGCATGTTAATTATTGTCAAGAGTTACCATCGCGCAAATAAATACTTCTTATTTTTCCCAAATATTCACTCTCTCTTTTTCTCTCTCTCTCTCTCTCTCTTAATGTAATATTTTTCCTATTTCCTTCCTATTTCTTTTTTTGTATGTATTCACATGTTCTCCAATTATAAGTATTCTCCAATTATAAGTATTTCTCCAATTATAAGTATTCACTTACTTACCCCCGTACTATTGTATAATACGTAAACAATAATCTCAATTTATCATATATTTCGGATATTTCGCGCGACAGGTTATTACGAAGCATCACGCGGTCGCGGAATGTATTTCGCGCTTCGTTACGCGTATATGTACATCTCTCATTTTTTCAAAACTACTTTCGACTTCCTCGACAATGTTCCACACTGAGATCCACTTTTCATTTGCCACTACCTTTTTTCAAGGTAACATGTAACGTGTGACTCAGGTTATAACGATGATATCGCGGCCACCACGGACACGATTAAAATTTCTGAGCGGCTCTTAAAGAGAATCACCTGTGACGCACAAGTGTGCACGTACTCTCTCCTACCCTTTCTGTCTCTTCCTTTCTCTTTCTCTCTCTTTCTCCTCTCTCTCCCTCTCTCTCTCTCTCTCTCTCTCTCTCTCTCTCTCTCTCTCGTTCGCCCGCTCGCTCGCTCTCTCTCTCTCTCTCTCTCTCTGTCTATTTCTCCTGACCCTTTCCGTCTCTCTCCCTCTTTCAATTTTAACATCGATTAACGCGTGCTTTACCTTGCATAGAGGCTCCCAACATAAAGCGGATCAATCTCGAGGGAGGCGCGCGGCGTTTTGAAATATATTCGATCGTTTAATAATGCATAATAACCACAAGACTATTACCGACGAGGTAGTTTCCGCTCTCATTGCGCGTCCCTTCATGATCACGCTCAAACACATATTCATGTGTCGTCGCATCTGTTATAACGGGAACGTTAAAGCGCGTGACCGGACAAACGATCTTCTGCGCGTCCTCCGAAATATCGAGTCGTAAACAACTCCCGACGCGGGTAAGTAATGTTTTCTCTTTTTCTTCTTCTACTTCTTTTCTCTCTTCTCTTCTTCTCGACACACACACACACACACACACACACACACACACACACACACACATGCACATAAACCTACACCGACCTGCACTGCACGACTATACTGCAACTCACGATCTTAATTTTATCGACAGGTCCTCCGATCAATTCGAAGTCGAATTTTCCGTGGCGAAAATGTCGCAGCACCGATAGTCTCAGAATTACGAGCGATTGTGAAAGAGGGAGAGAACGGAATTTTCCGCGAAGAGAGTTTCAAACGGACAAATAGATAGCAAAATCATATTCCTCGGTTAATCTCGAGTATTTTACTTTAATAGAACTTTAATTCGCGGCTTAGCTACGAAGACGTGCAATGTTGAGAGTTCGCAATTGGTGATAACCTCTCCCGATATTTCCGCTGAGGAAAAAGTCGACTACAAAATGATCGAAGAGCATGTTGTTAAAATTAAGGTCACGACCTGTACATGTGTACGTGTGAGAGAGTACACGCAATTTATATATATTTTGCATGTTAGAGATTATATTCATTCATATTATATTGCATTTTTGTGTAAAACCATCGTAAAATATTTCACTCCGAAATAAAATTGATAAAACAAAAACGAAAGTTATTTACGAGGTCAAGCCAATAATACCGCAGAGATGGATTTCACCGACTCGTGCATATTGTACATCGTGTATCATAAGCTACGTTATAGTCCACGAGGAAGAGAGAGAGAGAGAGAGAGGGAGAGATGAACAAACCAAGTTTTTATACAACTACTCCAAACGTTTGATAGTACTTTAAATATTCCACGAGACCGCGTCCGCATACCGCGCATCCTATGAATTTGTGAATACCTCGAAACTGCATAAAAATAGGTAAAGCGGTATGCATATATACGGCGAGCTCGCCGACTCTTAGCGCAGTTAGATGAAAAACTGAATCTCGCGCGCCGAACATTCTCGGGTCTCAATTTTACAAGTTGTATGTATCGCGTACTTCGCGAGTCGCTCTCCCGCCGTGTCGCGTTTCATCTCTTCCGAGGAAGCGTGCTGCGAATGCAGGAAAAGCAGACGAGGAGGCATTTGACGTGAAGTCACATTTTTACCTTGCGCAAACAGCGCGTCCGTGCGCGTTAAAATCAATTGAACGCCATTAGATAACGTCACGTCGTATCGGTCTTGGTGACGCATAATTCCGGCGCCCAAGAGTAATTGCATTACGCTAACTTACATACGTAATTACGTCAAACGGCAGAATTGAATTAAGCCGCGTGTCAAATGCGGAGGTCATCCGCTTTCGAGCGAATGCACAGGGCGGAAATCTCGCGTAAATGCGCACGAACAAATCGTTCGCAATACAATAATTAATGGAGACGAAATTGGAGAGCTTATATTTCCGCGTGGCGCCTTGAATGTATATTTCAGAAACACTGGGGACGGCATTACGTATCATGTAGATACGCATGTAGTAATGCATAGAGAACGTAATAACGACGTAATAATTTCGCGAGCAAGAGAGATAGAGAGAGGACAGGAGGAGGGGGAAGAGAGAGAGAGAGAGGGAGAGGGAGAGGGAGATAGAGAGCGTCGTTTCTACTTTATTAGAGGCACAGATTCAGGACAATATTCGATATCGAAGATAATCGAGAACAAGCTCTCCAATTACGCGACTCCAATAACGCGACTGTTTGCGAAATATTTCGACTGTACGCAGAACGCGGGCGTCCCGTTTATCGTTTCGTTGCTCACTCACCCTGAACGTATCCAAGCAGGAGCAGGAGCGACGCGATGAACCAGGGATGACTTCTCGCCGACATGATCTTCTCTCTACCCGCGATCACGCGCGAAGTTTATCCCGAGAGCATGAAGCACTTCACCACGGAATACCAGCAGGAACCTCATACACGCACCTTATGAACACTCGCCGCGGCGTCGATACACACCGTGTATTGTGGATGACTTTATTTTAGGCCCGCTCTCGTCTTAGCCGCGTCGACTGCACATATCAAAGCGACATATTTGAATTTGAATATCTCAATTCAAAATGGCGGACACACATATACACACACACACACATATTTGAATTTGAGAGCGGGTAAGAGAGAAAGAGAGAGAGAGAGAGATTGAGTTTGTGTGAGAAAGAAAGAGAGAAAGAGAGAGAGAGAGCGAGAGAGAGAAATAACGACAGAGTAAAAGTTGCAACGAAAACGAACAAACCTTTCGTCGGTTAAAGCTTCCTCTGCCGAGATGGGGAGAGGAGCGGAGAAGGGAGGGTGGGCGGCGAGCTCCCTCCCTCCTTGTGGACGGATCAGCGTGCGGAACGACGACTCGCGGCAGGAAGCACACGCGACGATCCTCGCGAAGCGCGGAACGAAAGCGAACTGAGCCACCACCATCGCGCGCTCTGTCCGATCTCCGTAACGCGACCCCCTTCACGCCGAACAAGCCTTCCCTCCCTACGTCGCGCGCGCTCTCTCGCTCCCACCCCGTCGGTCTCCAGTTATAACCTCCCACCCGACTACCTACCCTTTGCGCTCGCCCTCGCTCACCCCTCGCGCGTTTCGCGATCCACCGTTCGCACCATCAGACAAACCGCCCCTCTTTGCGTTCGGAACTTCCCCTCCTGACACTTCCGGGTAGTGATGGCCTCAAGACACACCGAATCCCGTTACGAATATGTATGTACGTTGAGCCCAAAGCGTCCGTTTCGGAATTGCACTAAACTTGTGACTTGAGACTACAGAGAGCGCGAGTGTCGATTATCGATTGCCGAAGTTGATCGGTTCCGTCATCGATACGAAATCAATTGACATCGTCGCGAATCACTCCGATTTCTCTTTCTTTTCTCTCTCTATCTCTTTTTCCCGCACTCAATTCAATTATATTAAACTGAGATGAGTTAGGATATATTAATATCCGGTGCGAAAGTCTCTTGGAGATTTAACTAATGCCGTGATATGAACGACATACGTCTACATGTTCCATTTCCGTACATTCACAAATAGGTTATCGTGTATTCTCGAGTTTCGAGTAACCCGAAGTAACTTTCGGTTTCGAGCGACGTTCGAAGTTATATATTGAACTGATGTGTATCAAAATACATTGATATCCCGTACGAAAGTCTCTCAGCAGTCGACTAATGTCGCGATACGATCGGCTTACATTTACACGTCTCACTTCCGCACATCTCTCGTTGCACGTTCGTGAATTTTCGAGGCAACGAGGCTTTGACGATACGATCCGAGGCGCCGAGTGACTTTCGGTTTCGAGCGATATTCGAAGCCATTCGGATCTCCGCGCGTGATTGAGCCGCTTGGAAAGTTGAAAGATGAACAGGGCGATAAATTTATTTTACCTCGGGGTTAACGTAACTGCTTTTGGCGCGTGCGCGCGCAGGAGCACAGTACAGGCAGTGCAGGGCGAATAAAAAATATTCCTTTTCCTTGAAAAGCGGGAAAGATGTAGATTCGAATGCCCATCACTACTTCCGGAACGACCGACACGGTCGTCTCCAAACCTAACCACCGCCGCCGCCGTCGCCGTCGTCGCCGCCGCCACCGTTTGCATCACGCTTCTCGCTCATTTTTCTATCACTACGGATCGTCCCTTTTTTTTCGCTTCTCTCGCCCTGCGCCCCCAGGCTCTCTTCTCTAAAGAGAACGCTCGGTTCCCGTGATGCATCACGATATCGCGCGTCATGATGCCGCCGACATGCGACGATTCCTACGTGTCAATTTATTGCGTCTCCAGTTTATCGAACATAGGATTATCGCGTTACGTTACCCGCCATACCCGCCTGCGCGTATTTTGTCATCCGCTCGAGTATCTCCCGCGGATAATGTAATACGTTTTACCGTGCGCGCGGGCTATATCGATCGTGTTACTTCCTCCTCAGAATCATGTAATGAATCGTGACATTTTACCAGAACTACACGGCAGATACAATTCTGCTCTATTTGATTTTCCCGATGCCCTGAGGTGTATCGCTCCTCCACCTCCCCCCTCCCATCCCTTCCTCTTCCTCCTCCTCCTCCTCCTCCATCCTCTTCCGCCCGTCATGCGCCGCTCGTCATCCGCTGAAACGCAACGATGGTGATATATTCGGGTTGCATGTGATCTCTTAGGAACGTGACGAAAGCGCACTCAAATCTACATTACTTCTCCGTCGAAACGAGATATGCTCTTACCTCCGTTCTATTATCTCCTGCATCTCCTTCTTTCTTCCCGCTTCTCTCGCTTGCCATTCTCCCATTTACTATTCCTGTGCATTAATGTAGAAGCGGACAGTAGGTAGGAATTCGCATCTTACAACATCAATTCATTGAGAATCTATAAACGTACTTCTTGGCGATTCTTTAATCTCTTCTGTTCGGCCGCGCCGTTGAATTACGTCCCAGTTCATTGCCGAGAGTGAAATTACTTCCCGAGGTAATCTCACTTTAATTAAACTTTTTTGCCTCGTGGACATCTGTTCCAACAAAACAACCAAAACAGAGAATCTGCGAATAAATAAAACTAATCCTTTGGTGGAGAGGATAAAATGTATATTGGACCGAGGCCAAGACGCGCGAGTGCTGGCGCATAGATTTTAGATGCGAGCGGCGCAATGTTAATATTGGCATAGAAAACGTCAGTAATGGAACTTACAGTCTTGTTTAGGTAATTTCGGATCGAGAATGCGTCGCGACTAGATATTCGCGCAAAGTGACTGTAAACAGATTCGAAGATTCGGCAACCTTATAGAAACCTTTTAACCTAACCTAACCTAATCGAAGCAGTGTAGGTAACTTTTTTGTTTGGTTTGTCGCACTAGGACGAGACGTTCATTATTGGTTAGGAGCTGATATCTATTTACTATGTCAACAAAACCTTCCTGTCGAAGTGAAATACGAGAATCATTAGTAAGCAGCGTGAGATGCCATAAATATCAACTTTACATGGAGATGAGACATCACGCAAATTCGGGGCAAAGTTTCAAACGTTATCTTCGGAGACCCTAGGAACTCCCCATCTGATAGCCAATCGAAATCCGAGGTATCAATCGTACATTTTTTCCTTCATATAAATTGGTGAAATGAAAAGTGAAAAGTTTCATTGACAAGTTTGATAAACTTGTTTAAACTTTAGATAAGATAATTAAAGATCTTCTTCTTTCTGGCCTACACTTTAGATGTTTTCTTGCGTGCATAATGTCATTCTATGCCTCTTTTTGTTGCACATTTATTGCTCATTTATCGCTTTGTTGCTCTAAAAAGAAAGGAAGAGTAGAGTAATTTAATTGACCAATCAGAACAAAAAGAACTAAGATTTCTTTATCATACTGCTAAATATTATTCTACCTACCGAATAGGCTATTCGGTTGCATTCCAAAACGTCTTTTTGCAAGAAATTTTATTCAATATTCTGTATAGTATATGCAACGTGAATTATAGATATTGAGTAAAATTTTACTCAAAAAGGACATTTTGGAATGCAATTTTGGAACGTAGTGCAGCGATAATCGATCCTTCGGGCTGCGTTCCGATTCTCCAATCGGGTGGAAAAGTGCTACAAAATATGTGACATATACTATAGTACTTTTAGTATTATAATGCACCCGGGTGAGGAATCCGAACGCACCCTTGCACGAGGAATGCATCGAACGTCGATTAGTGAGTCGAACATCGCCCCACTCGGGCAGCCAATCAACGCGTAATCAGCGACGAGATGATCGCGTAGCCACCATAACTGTTTACACTGCCGTTCGGGGAGCGCGTCCCGTCATCTTCACCGTCATTACCGTTCGCACCGCCGCCGTCATTTCCATCATCTTCCCGTGGTCGTCGTATCTGTTGCGTGCACCGCGATGGCCCGCACGAGCGGCCGACGCTGGTGACGTACGCGTCGTATCTCCCGTTTAGGTGAGAAAGTGCTCGTCAACCGACGTCGTGCCCATCGCGAAGGAGAGGCTAGGACGCGCGCAGGATGCTGTGGACTGCGACAATCGGAATTCTGTCAAGTGTGCTGTTCGCTACGGCCACTTTGCACTCCACTGCCATTGACGGCGGCGGCGGTAGCGGCGGCACCCGCGGTAGCAGCGGCGATCCGCTCGGTCATCACGGCCGTTGCGAGCCCATCACTATCAACCTCTGCATGAACATCCCATACAACGAGACCATCATGCCGAATCTCATGAACCATCAGAAGCAGGAGGACGCCGGCGCGGAGGTACATCAATACGCGCCTCTCGTCAAGATGAAATGCAGCCCGGACTTGCGTTTTTTCCTGTGCACCGTCTATGCACCAGTGTGCACCATCATCGACAAGGCGATACCGCCGTGCCGGTCGCTGTGCGAGAGTGCGCGTTCTGGCTGCGAAGGCCTCATGAATACCTTCGGCTTTGCCTGGCCAGAAGCCCTGGACTGCTCCAAGATGCCTCCAAACGACGGTGCTGAGCTCTGTGTCGGGAACAACGAGACCTCGGCTCAGGACCCCGTTGGTCCAGTTTATCCTCCGCCTCGTATGCCAGTGGCTGAGTTTCAGCCAGCTTGGAACGAGGGACACAAACCGTATGGATCTAGTGGTGCTAGTGGTGCTGGTAGTGGTGGTGGTGGTGGTGGTTTTGCCCTGGGTGCCAGGGATTTTGGCTTTGTCTGCCCAGTTCACTTCAAGGTTCCACACGAGTTGGGCTATTCGCTGAAAGTTGGCAACAAGGTAGAGCCTGACTGTGGAGCACCCTGCGATGGAATGTTTTTCACTGAGAGAGAGAGGAGGTTTTCTAGAGTATGGGTGGGCACTTGGGCCTCCATCTGTGCAGCCTCGTGCTTCTTCACTTTTTTGACATTTCTCATAGACACAGATAGATTTAGGTAAAATGCTATTTTCTTACTTGTTCTTCTATACTTTTCTTAAACAGCAAATTTCGACATTATGACATCTAAAATTGTTTAATATTGCACTCTTGAATTTCAGGTATCCTGAGAGACCTATCATCTTCCTATCAGTTTGTTACTTGATGGTATCGTTAACTTATGTGGTCGGTTGGGCAGCTGGTAACAACATATCATGTAGAGAACCATTCCTACCACCCATGGGAATGCGTGTACCGATGGTATCGACGATTACTCAGGGTACAAAGTATGAACTGTGTACCGTGCTGTTTATGGTCCTCTATTTCTTTGGCATGGCCTCGAGTATCTGGTGGGTCATTCTCACTCTCACATGGTTCCTGGCAGCTGGCCTGAAATGGGGGCATGAGGCGATTGAAACGAACTCGCAATACTTTCACCTGGCTGCTTGGGCTGCACCAGCTGTCAAGACTGTTACTATCTTAGCTATGGGGAAAGTGGAAGGTGAGGGAAGATGATAAATTCTATAACAAAAAGCACAGAGAGCACAGAGCAAATAAAAACTAAAGATATGAGAATTCAGCTATAACTAAATCATTAAAACATAGCTTATTTGATACTTGAGAAAATCAGTATTAAAACCATTTTATTATTTATTTCACTCACAGGTGATATACTATCGGGTGTATGCTACGTCGGCCTCTGGAACGTGGAAGCGTTACGAGGTTTCGTATTGGCGCCCTTATGCGTCTACCTCTTTTTGGGCACTTTGTTCCTGATGGCAGGCTTTGTGTCGCTCTTTCGCATTCGCACCGTTATGAAGCACGATGGTACAAAGACGGACAAACTCGAGAAGCTGATGATACGCATCGGTATATTCTCCGTACTCTATATCGTGCCTGCCATGATTGTCATTGCTTGTCTCTTCTACGAACAAGCGTACTTCGATCAGTGGATGCTGACATGGAATATGGAGATGTGCTCGCGACCAGGCCCGCAGTCCCTTTACTCTCTGCCGTGTCCTGTAGGCGAACGTACACGTGATCTGGGCCACAGGCCCGAATTCGAGGTATTCATGATCAAGTACCTAATGGCGATGATCGTTGGTATCACCAGCAGCTTCTGGGTGTGGTCCAAAAAGACACTCACCAGTTGGAAGCAATTCTTCAATCATATACGAGGACGCCGAAACGAGGCCTACGTTTAGTAATGATATGGAGCATGTCGAATCACTTCGAATGTGACAGAAGTCTCGAGCCGTTTCGAATGTTATCATAAATCAGTAATTCTCAAAAATCTTCAAGATTAACTGTTCCCGCAAGCATACTGTGTCATCTATATCTACGTGCAATTTACTATAAGTATATTGTGTCGATATGTAAACATTCAAGATTTTTAAGAGAATTTCCGATTTCGAATAATCTCGAAACAAACTCATATCCGCGTATAATTGAATCTTTTAAGAAAAATGCGAGATTCGAACGTCCATCATTATCTACGTTTAAGGCGCAAAGATATACGTGGCTTTAAAAAAAAAAGAAAATGAAAATTTAAATGGTCACGAGAATGTTAAAAATTTTTTTTACTTCTCGCTTGGAAAGACAGAGCAAATAATCTCTGATCTTTCGGCATTTGAACTTTCAATGTTGCGCTATATTCTTTCCTAAACGTACGTAGATCTTTGCGATTAAGTATAATAAATTGACAAAAAAAAAGTACCCTCTCGATACTAGAGGCATGCTCGGAATATCGCGAGTTTACTTACAATATTAAGATTTGTATATTTAATAATTGGAATGTGATTGCATAATATTGCATGATTGCATAATCAATAACAGGAGTTCTCCATGCCTTCCAGGATTGCGTTCTTCCACATAACACGAAGAACATCTAGTCTCTCAATTTGTTATCACGAATTATGTTGACAGTTTTTTTATATTACGAGCTACGATGATTTTTCAAAGACTCTATTTTATCACTCAGCGCCCCGACAGAAGGTCGGATCTTGATATTTTCATGTGCATTCTCTGAAGCCTCGTGGAACTCCTGCTTTATCATAGCAATCAATTTGATCGGAGTCGAAATTGCTACAAGTGATGCTTTATTACGTTACGTTTACCGTTTTCTCGTACGTAATCAAAAGCACGTATCAATATGCAAGTGCTGTGCCAAATGAGTTTTTCTAATCTCTCGAGCCGAACGCACGTGATATATGGATCTGTGTAAAATATTCGGGATTACTATTCTATAACGTTTAATGATGTCATTATGTATCGCTGCGCAGTTATTTCATAATACAAAAAATCTGCACAGTGATACATAACGATGTCATTAAAAGTTATAGAATATACCTCTAAGTGTCGATTAGTTTGAAAGTATTACTAGACGACGTTTGTTCGTTAAGTTTATCGCGCCCGTCGCTACGAACTCTCGATTCTATCTTACGTTTAAGTTGGAAATGCTCAAACGATGCAGTCAACACATGAAACAAGTGTCCAAAGTTTTGAAACAACTGGTGTCTGAGGACTTTGAACAAGCAGAGCTCGGTACATACGCGAATTTCGACTGATTTTCAACTTGTTCTACCTAGCATTATTCCTCTTACTCCATTGCCCCGCGCACAACCTAATAATGGAAAACTATTAGAAACATATGTTTACAAATAATACGTTCCTGAGTTTCGAGCGACTCGAGGTAAAGGAGAATAATGTTAAGCGGAACAAGTTGCAAATGTGCAATGCATGCCGAACTTTGAGCTAGAGCTAACTTTGGACGATCTACAACCCGCGCTATAAGATTTATGATGAAATTTTATTTGCAATTTGCATGTACTGTGTAGAATAGAAAACGTTGAATATTCTTTCATTATTTTATAGACATATGCAGATATCTATTATATTGTAAGAGTTATCAATATTATGCATTTATAATATTGATTATTCAAACTTCATTTTTTTGCAAGTAGAATTTCATCATTATCTGTCATAATCAAGTGTCCGAGATTTCTGTAAAGCCCGTATCAGATCATCGCCATTAGGGATTGAGAATTGCGAATTGAAAATTAGATTTCGACGAATCAATAAACTTCGATCTTGGTTTGCTTTATTTTAATTGGTCAAGTTTCAATCTTCAATCCGCAATCCTCAGTCTTCAATCCATAGTCTGATACGAGCATGAGGCAGCTCAAATCTAAGAATACTAATAAGTCGTAACTGTAACGACGATCAATTAATCATGTTTTGTATCGTCGAATTCTCTCATCCTTTAATTTTATCGATATCGGAGAACTGAACCTATTACGCTTAACTCTTACGAGGCGCATCTAGGAGACATACATATGGAAACGCAATAATACTCAGGCAAAGACTCTAACGGCTCTCTCGGGGAATTTCTTTTTATATTTACTCGTCAGGAGCCCCTTTTGCTACGGACGGCCAATCCTTTTTCATCACGCGATGACGGATCTGCTACTGCAATTTACAGTAGCAGCATTTGGCCTCCCGACGAAATCTCAACGAGATTGTAAAATTTTAACGCGTAAGAAGTGTGCTACACTATCTTTAGGTTAACACAATTGTATATAATTATATATGTTTTTTAATTCTTTACTCTATGTACTATAATATATTTTTCAAGAATTCTGTACATATATATACACACACGACACGTGCGTGTCGCCGCGAGTTACGACAGCGTCGCACGTTTCCTATACATGATTGAAACGATTGTGCGAACAAACATGTGAATTCGTCCATCGAAACTGCCGAGCTTTTGTGTAATGTCGTGCAAGAGAAAATTCCACGCTGCGAATGATAATACGCGTAATTATATATATAAAAAAACAAAAAATATATATATATATAATAGTACACGCATGTAACACGAATACTTCGACGGCACTAATAAAAAGTAATTGCAATCTTTCTGGCGTTTTTGATCGGCTTTCGTTCAGTGGCGAATCTCCAAAAATGTGATATTTTAAAAAAAACAACTTTAACGCGAATTTCTGATATCTTGTATTGTGCGTGTACATTTAATTGATAATGGAAAAACTCCTACGAGAGAGAAATAAAGATGCAAATAATTCTCTTGGGAAGTTTTTGATTTGGCAGCTGAAGTGCTTTCATGAGTGCCGTTGATTCTGGAATATTGTCATGCGTGAGATATTGCGTGACGACATGTAAATTATGATCGCTATATTCTTTATATAATAAACGAGATGCATATGTGAAAACGTCTTTTCATGCTCAGCTCGTCATTTAACAATTTTTTGTTTTATTTACAGATTGTGGTCCTCTCACACAAAATATACATATCAATAACACCAGAATATTCATATAAATGCGTACATCTTATGTCACGCTCGCTTATTCGCATAATGTGTACATGGAAATTTAAATTCAACAAATTCTAGGGCAAAAGATAGATATCCTAATATTGGAAAATATCACTAGTTGCTGCGATAAACTTTCTCTTCGCAGTAAGATCGTCGTTTTTATGAAATGCTTCGTTGTTACATTTTTCCTTGATTCTTTGATATGACTTGTAGCATGCACTGATTAAAAACATTTGGCGCGGTGTTTTATGAAGACGTTGGTCTTTTCGGCATCTTGAGTAAACCTATTCTTCTGAGATATCTCACGAGCAGCGGAGTCACACCGAAGGTCATCGATAAACGAACAGGTGCGAACATTTTGTGCACGGTGTACGCTATCACGAAGTCTGTCGACGTTTTTAGTAGAGTGTCTACTTCCTCGTTGCCACCTGTGATTTTCTGCACGAACGGCGTCACGTCTACTCCACTGAAATCAAGAATATATAAGTGACGAATATCTTCAAGATACTCTCCCGAATAATTACACAATAGCATAAAAATTAAGCAATTAACAGAATCTATGTAATGATAAAAATCGAATACAGTGAGGCGAAGGAGCACAGATATTTCATCTTGTAAGTCGTCATACCATGAAAAGTACCAATGCAAAAGATGTGTTATAAAGAGAAGATGCGTGATAAGCTGAGCGTAAAGAGTGCTCCAGAAGTCGCCCACTCCGAAATATCCGCCTTTTCTTCCAGGGATTCCATCGAAAGTGCCGAGAAAGTGTGCGATTTCTGGGCCCCTCCATATATAGGACGTGATAGACTAACCTAACGACCACCATGTAACAAGCACCGAGGCTTATCAGCGAAATAGTAATATGAAAGACGAGCATGGTGCCTCCGTAATCCTTTAGCATTAGTCGAAACCTGTCTCGCTTCGACATCATGAGACTCGACGCCGGGGCTGTCGCTTGATCCTTCACGCCGTCCTTGGGCGCTCCGGACGCGCCGGTCGAGTAGCTGACTCTGATAATGCACTGCATTGGCCAATATGTCGTTCGTAAAAGCGGGCTCATTATGAAGGTATTAATTGCAGAACCTGAACCTGAACGGCACACAATTCCAGCATATAAGTCTCCAATACTAGATTTGAGGCTTTCACGGCCATTGATACAATGTCTAGGTATAGCTTCCGGAATGGAGCCGTGTCTTGAATCAGCGATATGCCGACGTTTCGCAAACGTTGCAGTTTGCATCATCAGGGCTGAGAACTCTGATACTCAGTATCAGAGTTCTCAGCCCTGATGATGCAAACTGCAACGTTTGCGAAACGTCGGCATATCGCTGATTCAAGACACGGCTCCATTCCGGAAGCTATACCTAGACATAAGTCTCCAATGTTGGCTAGTTACAAAAGCTCGTTTTTCTCTAAAATTATTGCTTCGGATATGATTGAACTTTGAGTCTTAAAGAAGCACAGCAATCGTCATACTGTTAGTCACAAGGATACAAATATCTGAAGATTTTAATTTTGAACTTTTTGATGATCAATTTGACGAATTCGATTATGTAAATTTCATCGATTCAATTATATCAATCTCAAATCTTCCGATATTTCGAAAAAAGGGAAGAAGATGAAAGCACCTCTACCCACGAAACCACGTTCAAAAGCCGCTCTTACACGACTCAGGGCGCAGATTACGGTAATGGGATCTCTGCATGTCCTCGGCGATGTATTTGCTGTCACGAGTCCATTGTCCGCCGGGCATGTTGAGGTGCGTGGAGCTCAGCACCCATGCGTCCGTACCCTGCGAGCGATAAGGCTTGGGCACGTTGGTCTGCATCGAGCCGCAGAGACTGACGGCGCCGAAACAATCGTACGAATCCGCTTGGCCGTTGTCGCAGATCTTAGGGTAGCCGGTGCGACTCGCATTCGTGATGGCCACGCCACCGTTCTCGCTATACAGGGCGATGTCGCGGGCACGTTCCGGCGTAAAACGGCTCATTTCGTTAGCGAATATGTCGCGCATATTAGTTGGTAGGTTCAGCCGCGGCGGTTCCGGATAACGACGCACGCTCGTCACGTGCAGCTTCTGTTCGCGATGAATCGCCGCCGGAGTTGCTCGCTGCATCTCCAAGGACACCGCTGAAATACGTAAAACGCTGTCAGAAAACATATACTGCAAGTATCACGCATCCTATGACGTAGAGCATTCCAAAATGTTTTTTTTTTTGAGGAAAATTTTCCTCAAAAAAAAAAAACATTTACGTTATAACGTAAGCTATATATCTTCAGTGTGTATAATGTATATGTAATCCCAAATAGCAGATAATTTTAAAAAAATTCAGCTGTATGTCACCAATTTTGAGTTCATTTTCAGATGCAAATTCTTCAAAGTTTAGTTCAGTGAAAAGAATTCTTTTTACATCTAAAAATAAACTCAAAATTGGTGACATACGACTGAATTCTTTCTGAATTCTCTGTGCTATCTAGGATGTATATGTAACATAATCTATAAATTTTCCTCAGAGGCAACATTTTGGTATGCAACCAAAGAATATTGCTAGAATAATAAAATTATGCCAACTACACAAAGTGAAAATCAACTGTAACAAATGTATTTACAAAGATGATAGTTATTGGAATATATTTGGGTCAAAATTATATATCTGTTTTATGTAACTTATTCTGCATATTATGAACATAATATGAAATTATTATGTAAAATGAATATCAGTGTCAATACATGTCCTGGAGAAGAATATTTATAAATAATATTTGGATCTTTTTAAATATTTCCTTATAAGTAGATGTCCGCTGTATGAATTTTATTGCGAAATATAGCTCATCCAAAGTGAACCTTGAACTTGTCACTCAAATGTCTTCCAAACAATAAAATTAAATGCAGAGTTCCTGACACAAATAACGGGCACAAAGTAAACGGTAAAAGAGCACACTTAATTTACAATTACTTATTTCTTTAAATTAACGTTCAAAGCAAGTTTAAAGTACAGGTCATTGTGGTTCACTAAAAGTTCCAGAACGTTGTACTTGATATTTCGACAATATTAATGAGCGGATATGAGTTAAAATTCACATTAAGTACTACATTATATATTTTAAAATAAAAATAATTCATACCTGCGCGCGAGACGCGAGTTAAAGCACTCATCATATCTGAAGCGTTGATTCTCGACAATGCCATGGTTGAATGTCTGATCGGCGATCGGCCGATGCCCCTGCGATAAGCACTAAATATCACCGAAGGCTAACAACAATACGACTAAATGAATTAGGGATACCAGACACGTAACCTTGGTCTGCCAGCTGGTCGCGGCTGCTATGACCTCGAACATATGCGCAATTTATAAAAAAAACGTGAAGCTGCAACTTTAAGCAAGTAGTTGATAGGTGAGTTGAGTTTTTTACGCATGCGCATCGAGAATTCGTCCTGTTTACGACACTAGGGCCGGTATTCACAGGTTGCTTTCCAACAAGTCGACACAAACATTCTATCTTTGTTCCACAATCAGTGAGTAACAAAGATAAGATGATACTTGTGTCGACTTATGTCTCTTGATGGAAAGCAACCATAATCGAGTCATATATTTAAGCTGTCTTAAGTTTATCTTCAAATATTTCGTAGCCAATGAAATGACACAAACACACATTGTCACCCAGAACGAAATAAGTACACCTGACTACCTATTATGGACTTCTTCGGAATCAATTCCGATCGGAATAATTCCGTTTCCCCTAAAAAAGACAATAGAAATCTAGGAAATAACTGAATGTTTCCGATCGGAATTGATTCCGAAGAAGTCCATAATAGGCACCCTGACGTCAATTTCAAAAATACACATTTTCAAGCGCGAATGTTACTTTAAAAAACTCTAAAAAACTATCCCAGAAGATGCTCTACATGTTAACGCTACATGACCTAACCTGCACTAACATGACCAACTTTCGGTCCATGCGCAGGATAGGAAATTTGCTATTTTTTCCTCGCTTGTTACGTCAGTGCTCATGGTTGGTCTGTTCTTTTCAGCTGCTGAACTGGTACAATAAGTTAAAGTGAGAAAAAATATATTTGTCTCACTTTAACTTATTGCACCAGTTCAGCAGTTAGCTGAAAAGAACAGTGCTGGGATTCTGTAATTCGTTATTGGAGTTAACGACAGTTTCGTTATCGTTGTACAGCTTTTCTACGATATACAAAAGTTGCGCAACGATAACGAAACTCCAATAACTCCAATAACGAGTTACAGAATAGGGCTACAGGTGCCTCATCTTCCGACCATGGGCAGCGTGAGCATGAAAACTATGACGTTACCTAACTTCGAGTGAACTTGCTTAAACCAATTCAAAACGCATAAGAGTGCTGTGAGTGCTTTTTGGACCGCGGCCTATAATTACGCGATAAGAAACGACATAGTGATCAATTAATTAATCGAAATAGCAATCAATTTATTAGATACTAAAAAACATAACATAATCTAGCATCATCTAGCAGTGCTGTACCAAGGATTAGTCGAAATTTGAAATCGAGATAATCGATTTATATATCGATTATTGCCTATCGATATAATTTGACAGCTCAATTGACAACATAAAGTTCCAGTTTAACCGCCGGCACGGTAAGACGTGTCTGAACAACTTCAGACCAGTGATTTTTGGAAGTTGCCTTGGAACCTGCCAAGACCTTATTCATTCATACCTCATTAGAATGTTGTTGGAGAAAAATCGTAGGATTACCTGGAACCAATATTGAGAGAGAGAGGGAGAGAGAGAGAGAGAGAGAGAGAGAGAGAGAGAAAGAATTGACAACATAACCTAACTCTCGGCCTAGCCGCCGTTACGATCAGACGTATTCGGACAAGTTCGGATCTTGAGATTTTTGGAACATGCTTTGAAACATTGGTTCCTGGCCTTTATATCACGATATCACTCAAACAACCTAGTTGATTCTTATTAACCTTTATTCTTATTGACTTGGAGTGGTGTTAGGGATATGTCTCTTTGAGAATCCCTGTAACCATATACTGAGAGAAAGAGAGAGAGGGAGAGACAACATAACCTGAAAATTCTATGAGAAGCCTGGAGTCAAATATTGAAGAAGAAAAAAAAAACCTAAAAGTTCCGGTTTAGCCGTCGCTATGTAAGAACATGTTCGAACTTGAAGTCTGTTCTTTTTGGCTGAACTGCATTGGTGCAATAACGACACTGATATAAACAAAATATATTTGTCTCACTGTAACTTATTGCATTAGTTCAGCTAAAAAGAACAGGTCTTTATTCGGACGTAATTTGTGATTTTTAGGATATACTTTGAATTGTTTCTACAGGCTTTAAACTTTATCATCTAATTATTGCACAGTGGCGTTAGGGCATTGCCTTATTAGACACCTACAACACCTGTATGAAAGAGAGAGAGAGAGGAGCAGCATAATCTCCATAGTTCTTGGCATATTGTCTTCGTTCATATTCATGTAATTGCGATCTCAGTAGTATATTAATTGCTCATCATACTCGACTGTTCTCTAATTCAATGGGCAAGTTAAAGGACGTAAGCACAGAAGAGGAAATAAACTTGGGTAAGTTCGTATACACGATGCATCGCGCGACTATTATTTATGAAAAATATCATTTCCTCTGCGATTCTCTATGTTGAACGAATGTACATCAGATACGAGCGATGTTCCACCGCAAAAGAAACACAAAAAACATAAGCATAAGAAACATAAGAAGAAGAAGCTTATGCATGATGATAGCGATAACTTTGCTGACATCTCAGCTGATGCGGATCGAAAGAAAAGCTTTAGGATAAAAGTGAAGAAAGAAGACGAGAGAAGGTATGATGTTTTATGATAATATGAATTAAAAATAGAAATCACACATAGTCCTTAAGTTTCCTCGATGTTTGTCTTGTGCTTAATAAGATTGTTATTTAGTAATATAGACAAACGAGAAAAAATATTAAAAACATGCAGTTTGAATACACCTACCACAAGTACTGCACCTTCTCCAAAAGCAACCACGAAGAAGAAGATTCCCAAGGGCAATAAAGGCAAAGATAGTGGCACTAGCAGTGAAGAAGAAAGATGGCTGGATGCTATTGAGTCTGGTAAACTCGAAGAGGTATTTTGCATACATATTGTATTGCTTTTATGGTATAAAACCTATTATTTCTATTTTACACTATATCTATTTATATGTTATAAAAAGATGTGCACTCATTGCTACTAGAGATCGTAAAAGTTTGGTCTTTAAATATAGTAAAACTATATTTAAAGAGACAAACATCCTCATTATACATGAATATATAAACTTACCTTTATTTATCTCTTCCCCCATAATTATAAACTATTATTTTTGTATATTTCTTTATAAGGTGATAATCGCTGGCAGAATGAAGTCAATTTGTTTCAGGTTGATGATGAATTAAAAAAAATTAAGCCAAAGGATCCTAAACTGATGACAGCTCGGCAAAGAGCGATGTTTGAGAGAAAAACTGACACAGAGCCGAATCAAAGTGTCGAGCAGCTGATGTCGTTACCTACTGGTTACAAGGAGAAAGTCATGACTGCGGAAGCTATACAGAAGGCTGCTTTGAAATCTCTGAAACGAAAACAATTAGCTGATGAGAAAAGAGAGAAAGATAAGGTAGGATTATAATTAAGTGTTCCACCTAAATCAATAAAAATTTCTTCTTTAATTAAGAAACAAAAAATGAATGAATTTCTAAATTGCTTTTGTAGAAAAAAACAATGGAAAGACTACTTAAAAAACAAGAATCCAAGGCGTCCAAGGTCATTAGCAAAGGAAGATTGTCTAAGCGGCAAGTACCACTAGTGACTTATCGTTTGACAATCGAGGGGAGTTCTATATCTCTGCCACCTGGTGAGGACTTTCCACTTCGCTCTGCTAAGGAGTAAGTATAATAAAATTACATTGATACATATTGTCTTCAATGACATTTAACATTACATAGACATTTTCTCTTTTGTTTCAGGAAAAGTCTCCCAAAGCAAGTTTTTTGTGGTGTCAATCATTGTAGAAAGCCAAAAAGATATACTTGTGCGAAAACTGGAGTACCATTATGCAGTTTACAGTGCTATAAAGCCAATCTTATTCTAGCTACTTAGATAATGTACAAAAACGATATTAAGGCTGTTGTCTGATGTAATTTTATAATACGACGAATGTGTTTGTATATAAATTATATTAAAGTATAGCCGTATGATATTGCAAAAATATTAGAAAGACAGCGATAATAAATGTATATATTTATATTTGAATATCTCCTCGACCTTCTACATCTTGTAAATAGTCTTCCAAGTTTTCATTAAAATCACTCGATTTGCATGTGATTACTCCACCTTTGAAAGAAGAAATGTTCACTCGCGCGAGTCGCTTTCGAAGAAGTTGTGAGAAAATACGAGTGACATTTGTATAACGTGATAGAGAAACGACGGAGCACATTCTAGCGATAAACGAGATAGTGAGATTACATTTTGTCCGTAGACCCGCGCCCGGAAGAATATAGATGCACATAGTGGGGTAGAGAGGAAGAAAGGAGGGAAGAAACAAAGTGCACGAGGTGTAAGCAGAATGCACAGATCTAAGAGCTGGCCTTTCTCCGAGCGTGATACTTTGTAATCTAGCCTAGGCCTTGCTTTCACCCACCCGTAACCTCTAGATAGCGGACCGTTCGGCCGTTCCTGTTCGCGAAACATTCACTTCCTGGTAGTCGACCGTCATCGGCTCAGATCCCGCGCAGGATCGTTCGAACCTATGTACGTGCACGCGCTCGGTGCTAGCCCAGGTACTCTGGGCCATCATGCCGAGTCTTTGCAATTTCATAATTGTCGCATTCTTCTCCTGTTGGATTTCGGCTTTGTGTCGCGGGACGTTCGGTAAGTGAATTGTTTTTTTACCGTTATTTTCGTTCTGCGAGTGACAGAAGCGGAGAATCGTGTTGCTCTTAGGAGACAGTTTGCGGATTGCGTTGGTCGACGTGTAGAATTCTATTACACGATTGTGTATTTTCATCATCAAGAGATACATTCACTGTTTGTTGACACAGTGTTTATCGACGACACGTCGATCAGTTTCGAAAATCGTGATTTTTATTGAAGTCGCGTTCCGTTATTTGCCATCGGCGTCGGCGGTCTCTTTCCATCTCCGTCCTCCGTTCTCCAATAGACAACGACTGGATGTCAACATTACGTCAATGTTGTAACTTTCTACTCAACAAGTGCGATATACAACATATGTTGCACGTAACAGTTACGTCGTTGAGAGCGGGAAACGATAACATTGACGCAGTGTTGCTATTAGCAAGTTTATATTGACGTTTACTGGCGAAGAACGGAAACGATGCTGCCCGCTCGTTGAATGACGAAATGCAGCCGATATATCGCGAGTATTGTGTGAATTAAGCATCTTTTTCACTCTTATAATATAGATGACAACGATCACGAGTGTGCACGTCCTTGTTCCAACGAGCGATCTTCGGAGAAAACATGCGTCTACACTTTTTTCGTCACAGAAACGCACATCCCGCCAAGGTAAGATGTCGATACAAGCCATGGTAAAACGTTCCTTTTTACTTTTAAATTAGTGGATTTAGAGGTGTAATTATGTAGAGAGACGTGTAAGTAAAGAACGTTGATAAATCGGGATCCACTTTGGTCGAGCTCTATGATTCACAAAACTGTAATTTTTTAAGTTTACAGGTGAAAAATCAGGTGAAATCCTAACGGTTAATATTCATGGCCGACTTTGCAGACGATCCATGAACTGCAATAAATTCCAATACTTGAAAGCGTACATTAAACGCACACTTGCGCGCCTATATCAGAGTTGCGCCGTAGATCTTAAGATTACGTCCGCGCAGATCATTTATTATGTATTTTCTACGTGATGTAGACACAATATTTTTTTTCTATAGACAATATAAATTGTATGGAATTGTAAAGTATATTATTTGTTTAAGAAACAACGTTCATAAATTTACATCATTATTCTAAAGGTTAAATAAAAATATACACTTTTCTTAATGAACTTTTTAACAAAAATTTTTTACACGTTCTCTGAACCAAAGTTGTGCCAGAGAATATCGTAAATGACTCTGATAACTATCTAGTCAACATCAAGCATCGGTTACATCTATGTTACAATTTCGCATTCCCTTATAGAAATATCATACTAAGAATCATTGATAATTACTTATTTTCAGTATTAAAAATACTGGATAATAAGTAATTGTCAATGATTCTTAATATGATATTTCTATAAGGGTTCAACAAATACAATATAACATGATTAATGTAACTTGCGCTCGGTGTCGACCGAGTATAGTCTCGCCAAATAGAAATAGACAGCAAACTTCTCAAAGCCAACTATGACTAATTACCGTCACATTTTTTGCGCAAATCCACGGTACTGACCATTCAATGTCAACATTGCGTTCTTTTTGTTCATAGTTTCTGCAACAAATCCGAGGACAAGGACGAGATTTTTGCTTGCGCAAATCATACCGCGGGAGAGAGTCGTTTGGCGATTAACGGGAAAAGCCCGGGGCCAGCTATACAAGTAAATATTATTGTGATTTCCTTGCACTGCGCGTACGCTCATTGAACCAATAAGATGAAAACAATCGAGATATGAAAATAGAAAGTTACCAACTATCGCACATGCATGCGATACTATTTTATTCTATCTTACTCCCGACATTTAGCTAAGTATGTATCTCATATAATTTTTCATATAGTAACACAAGACGACTATCATTATTATTAATCGCTCTTTTTATCGCAATCACAACCAGTTGATGAAATCTGCAGAAAGAAAGCGTGACAATTCCCTTATAGAAATATCATACTAAGAATCATTGATAATTACTTATTTTCAGTATTAAAAATACTGGATAATAAGTAATTATCAATGATTCTTAGTATGATATTTCTATAAGGGTTTGCATAAGAGTATTTCTCGAAAACGGTACAATTCTGCAATCAGGTTTGTCTGGGAGACACGATCGAGGTGGTCGTTTACAACAAATTAGGAAACGACGAATTAACTGTCCATTGGCACGGAATCCGGCAGAAGGGCTTTAACCACATGGACGGTGTGCCCATGATAACACAGTGCCCTATTTTACCCTTCAGTGGTTTCCGTTACAAAATACATCCGGAAAGCGCGGGAACGCATTTCTATCACGCTCATTCAGGTACGTGAGTTCTTGACAATGACAACTTTGAATTGTCAAACGTCTCATTAATTCCGAGCTATTAACTTGTTAATTCACCAACTGTTGGATGATAGTACATTTGCTCTTCTGCTACGGACTTGCCCGCTCAGGCACGCCGACACGCTCATTATACAATGAAAAATCTCGTCCGTGCAAACGCATTATTCGCGAGTATTGACGAGCGGTGTCGAGAAGGACGAGTCGAGGGAAAGATTGTCGGGAGCGCCAACCGTCCGTGCAGTTTCGAGCTTACAATCGACTCGCCCGAATTTGACTCCGGTCTACGCCGTAGAACGTCGTTCTGTCCGGCGCTCGCATCAAGAAAAGCAAGATCAATAATGTCCGCGGTCTCGAAAGAGGAGGAACCGGCGCGTTTTCTCGTCGCTTCGTTTCTGCTACAAAACCAAAGTTGCGTCCTCGCGTCTTCACGATGGAAATGTCCTTCCTCGCAGACGGCGGACAGAGTCGCGTCGCGTTCGAATCGGCCGGAATGTCGGTTTTCGCGGTACGATGCCTCGTTCCTCCCGGGAAGCGCGAGAAACGAAATCGGCGGATCAGCTCGCTCGCTCGATCTGGTGAACGGGACGTGACTGGCCGACGTGGGCAGTTTCCGCGATATCGTCGCGAAAGATGCCTTCGTGCCTTCGTGATTTGTGCGTGCCGCATCCCGAAGGACAACGCCCCGGGGCGCGCGGAAGGCGCGTAGCGGTCCGGTTCGGAGCCGGGGGGCAGTTCCAAACGAGAAAAATAAAGTCGAGTGGGACCATTAGTCTCGCAACAGGGCGACGGGGTGTACGGGTCGTTGACAGTTCGAGGACCACGGGATGACCCCAGTCTGGAAAGGATACTTGTACTGTCATCAAGGCCGCCGACTCCGCTGACACGACAATCGCGCCTGCTGCATCCACCTACACCGGGCGAGCTCCTCGTAAACGGCCAGGTATCACTGCTCTGCCATTATTGCTACTCGTCTGGAGGAGAGCTCAGCTCGCTCACTCACTCGTTTGTTCGTTCGTTCGTTCGTTCGCTCGCTCGCTCGCTCTTTCGCGTTCGCTATATTCGCCTTACCTCACCTCGCCGTTGTGGTGGAAACGTATCGCAGTCGTGAAGATAATTATGGTGTACGCGCGCGGCACGGCGTTGCCGCGCTCGATACCGGCGTAGAATTGAAATAAGAATGCGTGGGTGGGAACGACGAGGTCCTCAAGGCTATATCTGGGTATGTATTTCTTTTACAGGCGCGGGAATTGACGCTACGAGTGAGGCATGGTCTTCGCTATTTACTGCGTCTCGTTAACGCCAATGCACACGATTGTCCCGTGTTGCTGTCCCTCCACGGCCATTCGCTTCGAGTATCGGCCGCTGATGGCAACCCTGTACAATCGATGACGGGCACGCATGTCGTTTTATTTCCAGGTACGTTTCACACCCCGCTGTTTTTCCACCGCCGTCCCGCCACGCGCTTTTGTATCGCCGTAGATCGATACGAGAGTTGCGTGTTTTTTGTTTCCTGCTCTTTTATTGTTTCTTGCCTTTACTAATATATCCGCTCTGCGGTATATACACATCAGTATATACCGCCAATAAGAAAGCTGCAATTGCGCTCGAACATAAGAAACACTCTAGATTCACAATTATATATCCTGCGACGTAGGTACGCACGCCGTGTATACGCAATCTCGACTTGCTTCATTCGTCGAACAGCTTTTTCATCGATCCAGCGAAGTCAGGAGTTGCGAGCGCCTGATGCACGTATATATTTTGCGCATTGTACGTGCTAAACGGATACTGAGAGACCCCGAGATATCCCGACAATTCCCCAGCGCTTCGAGGGTAATCAGATCTATCGAGTGTGTCATCTTTTGGATAGACATCGGACTGAACGCGACGGACATTTCGTGGTGAACATTGGTGTGCTTATACTCTGCAGACTGTTGAACGGTGCGGTAATGAAACGTCGGATAGAATTATGCGAATATGATTACTACATCTCACAGTCGTCTCTATGTTTCAATAATGCCTCCTTATTAATTATTACGAAAATGCACCGAGTGGACCGACATCGGCGGCATCGGCGCCTGGCGCGAGACAAAGGCGTGCTCCACGTGCGAGAAGAGGAGAGAGACGAAGGGAGGAGAGAAACGCATCGGTACGAGGCACGGATGCGTGTACCTTCGTGTGTACGCCGCCACGCGTTGCTGATTCCGATCAATCTCTCGCACATACTCCGACGCGACTGCACTCCCGTTTCGTGCATTCACTGCGCCAAGAGAGACGGGCAGATAACATAACGAACGCATGACAGAGAAAGAAAAAGAAAGAGAGAGAGAGAGAGAGAGAGAGAGGATCGTTCGTTACCTAAACGCGCGTTCCACTGTGCGCGCGGAAAGATAGGACTCGATTGCCTACACGCAGTTGCACCACGGTCTCTGATCAATGCCCCTCCTCTATCTGTCTCGTCGCGATGAGATTTGCTGCTGGTAAATGTCGCTAACATAGACTTCATTGATCCACAGCTAATCGTAGAGATTCGCTCGGAGTGACGATGTAGAAAAAACAGGGAGGCAGAGAGAGAGAGAGAGAGAGAGAGAAAGAGAGAGAAGATAGACGTCCCGCACGTGTCGAAAAATAATTGCTACATTTTGGAGATCACGTCCGATGGCTCTTGACGTATTGCACGGGATCGTGTCGTGAGATGAAGCATTCTCAATAATTCGGAGTCGCTGCTCGACTCAACCTTGACGCGAGTCCTAGCGCGTCAGTGCTCATGCTTAGCGCTTAACGGAGCAGACAAAGAAAGATCTCAGTTCGGCAGAGAGAAGTGAGGAGAGGAGAAGAGAGAAGGGAAGAAAAGAGAAGAGAGAAGAGAAGAGGAGAAGAGAGGAAAGGAGAGGAGAGTGCGACGGCATCGGTAGCATCGGTAGGATCGCAAGCGGCAGCGGCGGTGAGAGACAGCGAGAGAGGGCGATCCTCTTTCTCTATCTCTCCCTCCCTCTCCCTCTCTCATAACAGCGTTAGCACGCTCGGCTAAGCGGTGCACGACGACGTGGTGCGGCATGGCGAGGCGGCAGACGGGTGGGACGTTCGCGCAGACTCGGCCGTCTTCGTGCTCTTGCCGGGGTTTCCGCAAAGGGAAATAAAGAAAGGAAGGTGGCCAAGCGCGCGCGAGCCCCGCGCAAAAATCATTAAAACGCGTGCTCGTTTCGCGGCTGCGGCTTTCGTCGTGTTGGCTCTGCCCCGCGATTTATTAGCGGACAGTGGACAACCGCGCCGCGCCCGCCGATCGGTTGACCACGCTCCGGCCGTTTCGGCCGCGTCGGGCGCACCGCTCGCGACGCGCGTCGGCCAAACCGAAAATCACCGCGCGTAATCGCCGGGGAAAGCAACTCTCTTGCCACCGGCGTCACCTCGTCACATGTATAGCCACGGGCTTTGGGACGGTCTGGGCACTAGTGGGACGCGCGTCGGCATGGAGTGGACCCGCGACAAGACCCTGGAGCTGCTGCGCGAGTACCAACAACGGCGCGTTCTCTGGGACTGGAACGCCCGCGGCTACCGGGACCGCGCGAAGCGCAAGCGAGCCATCCAGGAGCTCGCCGAGATCCTCTGCTGCAACACCCTCGAGGTCGAGAAGAAGATCACGAATCTCAAGTGTCAGTATTCCCGCGAGGTGCACAAGATCCAGAACAGCCGCGACGCCGCCACCGGTCCCGACGATGTATATGTCTCTAAGTGGTTCGCCTTCAAGGCCATGCAGTTCCTACAATTCGGCACGCGCAGATATAGCAAGCGGAAGAAGGTAGGCAGAAGAGGAAGAAGAAGAAGAAGCGCCAATCCGCGCTCCGTCCGTCCGTCTCGTCCGCCCGTCCTCGTGTGATTCCTTATGGCTTTTCAGCGTCGACAGACGAAACGTCGGTCGGTTCTCGATGCGTTCGCGTGTTCTTCTCGCCGTCCCCCGTTATCGCGGAGTTATTCTCCGTAGGAAATTACGGTGCGCGGAAATGCACACTCAAGTGTTCCGGTCGTTCCGCATGATGTGGAAAAGGGAAATTGATCTCCTCTTAAGTTTCACTTGGAAAAGATTGTCCACATTATACTCTCTTTCCGAGGGCAAAATCTCGAGATTGGCAGAAACGTTCCTGCGATAAGTTTCTCCCACTAATAATATACTATATAAACCGCTCGATCCTTCCAGACAGACGCAAAATTATGTACGGTCTTTTGCGGAAAGCCCGTCGTTGAAGCGGTCAAAAGTAACAAAGAACAGCGGAAACGTCGAGAACCGATTCTTTCGTGATGTCGCAAGTCGCATCGATCTGACTAAGCGATACAATGATTTCGAAATTTTGGTACAGGAGTGTTAGCGACCTATTAGCGTCGGTCGGCTAATAAATAGCGAGTAGCGCGACGCGTCGCTGATCGAGATGAATATTTCGTTGGCTCGTGGCGACGCGACGTGTTATCGTGGACTTCCGGGTGGAGGCTCGAGTCGATCTTTATCTGTGCCCGACTCGATCGCCCCGCGCGGGTCCCCCACGTATATAGATCTCTTCCTCCGCCCTGCCCTGATCGTCGCAGCACTCTGACGGGGCGGGCGGACGATGACGGATGATCTCAGCTCGATGTTCGAAGACTTGATACTTCCTCGGGAGACCGGGCACGGCTCAGTCGTGAACGTTACGACGTGTTGCACACGACGATTGTCGTAATGGAGCGACGCGATTCCCCGGTTCTCTACGAGGAGGTGAGGCATAAATATGCGTGAAAGTTTCAACGGCAGTCTTCCTCGGAGATCGACGCGTGAGATTAGGCCTCGAGCCGTGCGAACGGAGCCATAATAGAGCGAATTGCACGTCCGTAGTCTCCGACAGTGTGCGCGTATATAGCCCGAGTAATTTGCGGGAAGCTGTGAGAGAGAAGCGTAAAGTCTTCTCTGTCGCTGTAAGAAAGAGAACGTAAGAGTCCTGACCCAGCCTGATCCCCTTTTGCGCAGAAAGTCCAGGTGTCAAAGCTGCAAGAGGAGCACATTGTCAGTGACATCGATCCGGAGAGCATCACATTCATCGACTGCAACGAGGAGACGAATGGCTCCGGCACCGGTTCCTTCAACGCCTCGCTCAGCGAAGACGCCGAAGAATCTTCGTCGTCCAGCCTAAAGGCGATGGAGTTGTACAACGGCTCTCTGCCGAGCCAAGACAGTCCTCCCGCCGATCTCGATAGCCCGACGAAGCTGGAGGCCGGCCCCGACGAGAAACAGCGGAAAAAGACGAAGGAGGAGTTCGCCAAGTTCGGCGAGAGCATCGCCGTGCAGCTCGCCGAGATCCCCGACTCGTACTCGAGGTCGGTCGCGAAGCTTAGGATTAATCAGATCCTCTTCGAGGCGGAGATCGGGGTCTACGCGCAAACGCGTCGCTAATGAGCCGGCCGCAATCCGGAATGCAATCCCGGCTTGGCCACGGCGGAGGAGACACGGCACGATTAAAGCATTGCACGATCGTCGCATTCGTGGCGCGTCGTCGCTACCGTCACATTCAGCGTCGATTCATCTTTGCTCGCCGTCGCGTTGTAACAGCCGCGAGCTGTAAGACGAGGCTCACTTTAACCCTTCGTAGACTTCGGAGCTACAGATTGAAGAGAGAAAGAGAGAGAAAGAGAGAGTGAGAAGGATGCCAGTAGGCTCGCGAAGCGAACGAGACATTGCTCGTTTGGCACCAACAGGATCGAGGACTCGCGTTGCGAGCCATCGAAATAGATGTCATACGATCCATGTATTTGCCCCTCATTCGTTCCGCTTTAGAGCTGTGCGAATTGGTACTTTGATTCTGAAATGGTACTCGGTTTCCGGAATGGTACTCTGTTCGTTTGTTGCATATATAGCGTATATACATATATAGCATATAACTGTACAAATGTATGGAGTTACCGTTTCGCACGATAAGTGAGAATTCACACCTTGGTAGGAAACAGAAAGGCAGAAGCCAATTAGAACTCGCGCTGGTAGAAAAGCAGAAACTGTCGACTATCACTTGACCGACAGCGCGAGTTTTAATTAGCTTCTACCTTCGTTTTCGCCTTTTCTGCCAAAGCGTGATCTACAATCCTTCCTGTTTCTTTTTCTGACTCAAACTTTAAATCTTAGTCAGAAAAAGGACAGAGAACAACAAGAAATAAACAACATATTTTAGATTAAACTTTAGAGAGAATTCATGCCTTACAGAAAAACAGAAAGGCAAAAGCCAATCAGAACTTGCGTTTGTAGTAGTCGACAGTTTCTGCTTTTCTATCAGTGTGAATTCTGATTGGTTGCTGTCTTCTGTTTCTCTGCCAAGATGTGAATTCTTCCTTGAATCGATTCGGGCATCGATTTCGAAGTCGGTTATTTGATGTAACCGAGCCAAAAAGCGAGTACCACTTCGCACAGTCCTATTTCGCTTCCACGTGTTTTCACTTTCGGATAGAGTTAGCGAGAGGATCCTTTTCGAATTGTCGCGCATTCTTAGCCTTAGGAAAGTCAAACGTGGCCGTCGCGTGGAACGTAGAGGCCCGTTGAACTACAGCGACGATTTCCCAGTGAACATAGATCATAGACTGTAGGTATTGTTCTCGAGCTTACGCTCAGGATCGCACCGGGCGCGCTGTGTCGTTGTCAACCCAACGGAGTTGATAACGAAGTTCTAATCAAGACTGAATCGATGATGAAGACTGTACAATAGGCAATGTTGCTCCGAGGCACGTCTTCGTGAATGTTTCAGCGAGAACGCGTCGATGTTAGGCCGAGCTTTTCTCTTTGGTTCCTCCTTGAGCGACGTTGATCCACATTATTTGCCTCACGCACGTTCGTATTCATTGTACGCACTGTTACTTCGCGAAAAGGAAAAGAAAAATGTCAATATCGATAAACGCGTTATCCGTCGTTGTTTCCCGATTAGACAATCGATCGTCCGACGGGCTCGATTAATTCCCGTTTTAACGCGAAATCGCGGCACGCGAATGCAATCCAGAACAATGGTGGGAGGCGATGCTCCGCCGCGTCGCGTATTTTTCCAACTTTTTGAGGGGATGCGCCGGCGACAATGAGATGTGAATGCGAATCGATGTTCCGCAATATTTCGTTCGTAATCATCGCCGTGACGCGACACCGCGCGATTGCGAACGCAGTTGTTTCCGACTTCCTGAAGAAACGAAAAAAAAAAGGGAAGAAAGAAAGAAGAAGAACGCAATACACTAATCCTCGATATCACACACTCTCTCGTTATAGATAAATAAGCAGGTAGTTACTCTTCGTTAGCGCTAAGGTCTTAATGTCCATTCGAGTCGAGGATACAAAATGGGCAGCGGTGATTACAGGTTCGGGTTACGATAGTTTGTAATGTAATTTGCTCCGACAAACGCTGGTCGAGATCTTGCATCCGAATATATTTCGAAAGAAGCGAATTACTATTGTTGAGCGAATTAAACGTATAGAGTCGGCTGCAAAACGATTTCGGACACAATGAAGTTAGCAGCTCGCCAAACTGTTAGAATTGACAGTTATCGGCGACAGGCTTTGGCAGTAATAATATAATTAATAACATAAGTAATAGTGCAATAGATAATAATCATAAATTATTATAAATAATAATTCTCCTAATACCGAAATAATAATTAGTATTATTATTGTTAATAATAATAATATTAATATATAATTAATGATATTAATTACTGCGCAAGCTCTTTGGCAAGGACTCTCAATTTTGACGGCTTGATCAGGTTCGAACTTCGTCCTAAACCGTTTTGCAACTCAAGTGTACATACATTCGTGGACAGTTATTCATGATTTGGATGAGTTTGTGGTTTCATCCGTTTTGTCAATGCCCGTTTCTAGTAACTTTGCTTAATTTAAATGGCTGGTTGTTCCAATGGAATTGACCGATCGCATCTGTCAATTCCGATTAATGAGAAATGCGATTGGTCAATTCTGTTAATAATCAGCCGATTAAATTAATCAAAGTTGGAAAAAATGGGCATTATGAGAGGATCCTCTTGCTAGAAAACAAATTCTCTCATTGGACCAGAGGGAGAGTCCACAAATTCACCCGGGCAAGATCACGAACGATCTTTCTGTCCACGAGTGTACACAATGCCGTATCCGTATCGTTTCTATCGGAGTTTTGTTATTATTGGGAGACGCGAAGCGGCTCGACGCGTCTTCCTGCGTCTCTTCGAGATGAACGAGAATTGACTACGAGCTCGCGTAGCGTCCATCGGCTCGAGTTTATTAAAAATATCAGTGGTGCATGTATGATGTATGAATGTGTATGTATGAGACGAGAGAGAGAGAGAGAGAGAGAGAGAGAGAGAGAGAGAGAGAGAGAGAGAGAGAGAGAGGGAGAGAAAGAGCGTGCGTTGCGAAAACGTTGAACATGAGTATTTGGTGGGAAGCGGGACTACGAAACTAAGCTGAGTAATCCAACATGCATAGACGTTGAGAGAGAATTCATCGAAATGTACATTCAGTGCGACTTGTCGGCCGATCAACACAGCCCAGCACGATTATTTGTCTTGTTCAAATTAGACGTACGGGCGACGTACAAGTTTCCTTTCCTCGAGAGAAAATACTACTTGGTAGCATCTTCCACTAATAATTGTTTAGATATATTTTGTGTAAACTTTTATTATATATACGTTGAACTTTGTACACTTTTGTTCAATAAAAATTCTAGCGTTAACGTTACGCTCGTCGATGATTACTCGTTTGATGTCTCAGATTACGCGGCGAGTTATTACTTGTAGAGGTTGATAACAATGTTTTTGTCGACACTTTGACGGCTGCTGTCACGTTATCGCCTTGTCAGAAGCTACTTGCCGATAATAATGACCAGAAATTGTAATACGACTGATAGAGACTGTGTAAAGAAAGATGTATGAATTTAGTTATATATTAGATGAGAGGATATTCTTCTATTCAAACACCGTCTGAGTTCTCGAAATCTATCGATGTCAAGTGAGTTTTGCCGCGTTAACACTAGAATACCCGGCAACTACTCCCTTTGGATGCCCAAAAGAGTTATTTTGATTCCTCGCGGTTCTAACATCTCAAAACTCTATCTGTTCTTCATTACTCGTATAAATAAGTTCTGAACATTTTAAGAATATATAATTAAAAGTCATAAGATAATTATTTTCCCTAAACCACGAGAAACAGCAACAACAAGATCTTAAAGAACTCAAAATAACTCTATCGGGCATGTTATAGTATTAAGTGTCGTCAGAATATTTAGAAAAGAATCGATCTCGATTATGGAGTTGGAGAAGTTCGGGAGAAGCGCGGAGAATCTGGGATAGGTCGCACACACGACGTATAAATTACAACATTGTATTTCTTTTCAGGCGAAAGGCTCGATGGCGTTCTAGCGGCGGATCAGGCGATTGGCAAGTATGCACTTGATATACAGGGTCTCCGGGATTGTCGAGATATGCGACACGAGACGTATATCTTTTACGAAGATGCGGCGTTGGACTCGTACACGTTAAGGACCGCTGAGAGCTTCGACGAGCAGGCACTCAAGATCGCCGAGAGTGGCCATCATTGTCACAGAATATCGAAAAACATCGTTTGTTCGTTGGATCTGAAGAGTACAGAGCTGTCACAGTTGGATGAGAAAGCGGACGAGACGATCTATGTGCCCTTCGATACGAATACCTTCTCATTCACGGACGAGATGACAGACTATTCTTACAACATTCACGTATCGAGATACTATCCAGCCTACTTGAGTAAGACAATTCTTTTTATGTTGTACTCTCTATACTCTATACTCTCTATACCTCGGGATGAAACGGTCGGTCGTTTGCCGACGAGATACTCGAATTATATCGATTGCAAGAAAAAATGAAACTAGTCATACATTACGGACGAATCACGAGAATTCTTATGCTTCTTATGAAGTAAAAGCAGGTCGTGGGAATTCTCGTTAGAAAAAGATATCGACATTGTTCATTTTATTCGCAAAAAATTACTAAATTTGAGTAAAATTTCTTTTTTCTATCTTATCATAAACTCTTTACACCCAACGTGGTCAGCAATGTGCTAATAAATATAATCGCGTGTCTCTCAACATGATACGTTTACTGATTACATTCGTACTGATCGAGTATTGTATTACTTCGAGCTTGTTTTCACGACGAAGAGAATGTTTTACCGTTATCACGTGTCTCGTGAAAAATTTCAGGTTTAGAAAAAAGCGCGACGAAGATACCGCAGATCAACGGCATGTCGTTCAAGTATCCTTCGTCTCCGATACTGTCGCAACCGGAAGAGACCATGGAGAAATCGATATGCACCCTCGACGAACGCTCCAGCGAGTGCGCTGACACACCGTTGTTCTGCGAATGCCTGCAGTTGATTCAAATTCAACCGCGAAAAACGGTCGAGATTGTGCTGATAGACGAAGGTGATCGTCCGGTATAAAAGTTGGGACGCTTCCTTTATATTGGCTGTTCGAGAGGCCAGCCCATTCTATCTATGCAGAATTCCACTTTTAACTTTGTATATATGCTGTATATCGCTAAATATGTGTAAATAATTTCGGATTTGTTAGATAAAACAATTGTATTTTTATCTCGTTATGATTTTATGGAATAGTGGCTGCGTTGAGCGGGGAGAGTTGTTTTGTAACTGTTATAAGAGTTGTCAATTTGTTCGCTGCATGCTGTCAAACTTGGCTGAACTTAAGAGCATGTATACCAGTCAGATTCACGAATTTTACAACAGTTGCAGAGCAGCTTTCTCTGTCGAATGTAGTCAATGTTTTGATCTACGATCTTCTGCTATTCTTCGCGATTATAACGATAATTATAACGATATAAAAATATAATCAGTATAAAAGTTGAAAGATATTTCCTTTATATCTCGGTCGTTTCAAAGACTAGCTATCTATAATTCACGACAGAATTCCACTTGTAATTTTGTGCGCCTATATATGTGTTGTGTAATAGAGAAGGATGTTTCATTTCCCCAGGTTTAGGAAGCAACGTGTCGCATACGTTTCATTTACACGGTTACAACGCTAGCATCATGGCCCGAGAGAGTTTCGAGCGGCCTATTACCAAAGACTATGTCGTATCCCTGGACCGTGACGGGAGGATACACCGAAATCTCGTGAATCCGGTGCAGAAGGACACTTTCGTCGTGCCGAATAAGGGTTATGTCATTCTTCGTTTCTACACCGACAATTTAGGTGAAAATTCCATTTGTCAGCTGTAGAGAGCTTCATAGGGAGAGTAGCAAACTCGATCACGTGACCGAGTCCCTTGTAGATACAGGTGTATACCCAAAAAAAAAAACATAACATAAACTTCTAAAAAACATTTTAAAGACACCCTAAAGATGTCTAAAAAATGATTCACTTGTTCAAACGTCTTTAAAATATTTTTTAGTAGTGCTATCTGGGTAGGTAAGAAAGCTTGATCGCACTGTAACAATCAGGTTTCCGTGTAATTATTGTTAATCTATTAGAAGAGACGTGCATTTCTTAACTTGATATTGAACATATATTAAAATATTCGATCTGTTGGCGCGACGAACTAACCTCAACTTTAACCTAACTTATTAGCCTATTCCTATAAACTCTATTAGCGATCGTCGTATTAAGCGATTGAATTTAACTTATAAATTTTATTTTGTTCAGATGTGGTATCATTTAGATGTGGAGAAATTAGAAAATAGAGATTAAGAACAAAAATGTAGTAAAAGAGGAATGACATATTTGGAAACAGTATCATAAGTCGGTATTCATAGTCCGATCTTATATTTAAGATCATCTTAAGTATTGTCTTAAGATGTCATGAACCAATCACAGAACCGTATTCGCATTTTAAGACATTACTTAAGACGGTCTTGAAATAAGATTAGACTATGAATACCGGCCACAGAGTCATTTTATTCCGAGGATAAAGGAGGATTGAAGACAAAGATGCTAAATCGATGCCTATAAGCTAAATGTCCCAATGCCCGGACATGTACCTAATTCCGGACACTCTTATTATTTTGAATATTTCTCTAAATATTTTATCTTTCGTACACTAAATATAAATATTAAATGTATGTATACCAATATATATATATTGTACGTTGAAAGTTGAAATATTCATATTCAAATATAAAAATAATAACAATGTCCGGAGATTGGTACATTTACCTTATCTATGGCTAATTTATTTTGCACGTTTTTGTGTTGAAAGTACTTTTATGGCTCATTATATACAGAAGAAAGATAGAATGATTTTTTCAACACAAAAGCACATAAAGCACACAAAACGAAGACTTAGTTTATTACACAGGAAATTCTGACACATGAAACAATTAAAGATTCGATCACGTGATCAGGTTTGCTATTCTCTTCCTATAAAGCTGTCTTGGGCCGAGATCATAATCGAATACAATTCAATACTGATGACTTATTCTCAACAGGCTATTGGTTGTGGGAGGCGAGAAACACCGCAATATATTCTCAACTGTTCGGTCCAGGAATACAATTTCTGATGAGAGTCGGACTTCATCGAAATCTACCGCCTGTACCGATCGACTTTCCCAGTTGTGGGAATAACAAAGGCATAGATTTATTATTCGAAAATTCCTAATATTTACTTATGCTTGATGCATATGACACGATATATTGAATTATATCAAATATTGTTATAGTTAAGTTTACATTGTTTCCTCCCTTGTTCTTTGTACTTAAAAGAAATTTATATATTAGATTTAACTGGTTTTTGTTACTTTAAGTATATTTTTGTTACTTTAAGTATATATATATATATATACAGCATGTATCTACTGTGTCCTCAACAGTCAAAAAATAATATAGACAGAATCCTCTGTGAAGGAAAACACATCCCTCGCTTTCTAATTCCAACATGAACATTTGCAGGTCAACGTTGATAGAATTTACTAAATATTATAATAGACTCACAATAAATTAATAACAAAGAAAACTGAGAAACGAAATGTTAAAATTAATTCACTGATAAGTGTTCAATGGTTTCTAGTTGCTCCATTTCTATCTTTTTCAAAGATTCGTGTTGTATACGTAGTCGTTCTAACTCGACGGATTTTTCCAAAATCAAAGCCTGCAACAAGAATAAGCTAGAATCGACTGCCAATTGATGTTCCCGGTTATAGTTCTTTCAATTTATCTCAGAACCTGCATTTGTTGCTTTTGGGCTTCTCTTTGCTTCGCAACAGAACGTAACAGATTCCGTGCACCGATAGTCTTCATTTTTTCTTTTTCTACCTCCCTTGCTAGGTTATCCAATAATTTGATAAAATCATCGGAATTTTTCTCAAAATCCGTAATCTCTGCAAAGTTTTCTATCATTGTAAAATCAACTTGCGCAACTTCTCAAGCGAAATTAAATTTATAGCAGAAGTGCGTTTAGCGATAAAAAATCCAGTGCATTTTTCAAATCAATCGTTCTCTCAGGAGCTGTGCAGCTCGTTTATTTTACCCGTAATTGTTTAGCTAATACACATAACCTACATAACTTACTCGACACGAAATTCTCACATTCTTCCTTCAGTTTATTCGTCTGATTAGCTGTCTCGGGCTCTAGAATGCGTATCTTGCTCAAATCATCGATGTAAATACCATACTTTGCCAACGAGTCGGACATTTTGTAGCGTCGTGACTAATGAGCGCTGAACGACATAAGTATACAAGTTTGCAGATATATATTTCGTATAGTTCAGGGTTAATAAAATACACGAATTGCTTCGCCTGAGATTTTTATTTGTTAATTAGAACCAAACAATGAAATCATTAACTGGAGATAAAATCTATAGTTAGGGCCACAGAAACTTTAAAATTTTATAAGCTACTATACACAGAACGCGGAAATGTTTGGCGTGCGGCAAAAAACGATGCAATAGGCAATCAATTTGCCGTTTTTCATAAGAACTTTAAAGGTATAGTCCAGTAAGCGCTACAAATACTTTTTAACGTTTTTACTTCTTTCTCTTTTTCCTTCTTTTTTACTTCTTTTTCTCTTTTCGGATTCGAATCCGAGAAATACGACCTCACTCATAGTCGAATTATAGAAGAATAATCTATTGTAAATGGTATTGTAATTTCTTACGGCTTAAAGTTTACTACACCTATTATAGATCGAGACTAAAGGCTAGTTTATATGGCCGTAATCCGTTAACTTATGCCGGAACCGTAAAAAATTGACCAATCACAGTCGACTATTCTTCTATAATTCGACTATGATTGCTAAATTTTTTACGGTTCCGACATAAATTAACGGATGATGGCCATCATAACCAGCCTTAAGTCCCGATCTACAATAGATGTAGTAAGCTTTAAGCCTTAAGAAATTGACCAATCACAGTAAAATTATAGAGGAATAATCAATTATTGATTAATTTCTTACGGCTTAAAGCTTACTACACCTATTGTAAATTGGAACTAATGGCTGCTGCACACAGGACGTGGTAGCTAATCAGCGTGGCGTTTTTCCATAAAAGCTGAAAGTTTATTGGTTACTGCGCAGCAAGCATTTCCGCGTTCCGTACAGGAACTATGGTATTCATAGTCGAATCTTATTTCGAGACGGTCTTAAGTAATGTCTTAAGATGCGAATACGGCTCTGTGATTGGTTTATGACATCTTAAGACAGTACTTAAGATGATCTTAAATATAAAATCTGACTATGAATACCTGACTCCTGCACACAGGACGCGGTAATGCTTGCCGCACGGCGGAAGTTCGCGCGATAGCCAATCAATATGCTGCTTTCCATAATAACCTTCTAGCTCTTACGGAAAAACAACATATTGGCTGTCGCACGAACTTCCGCTGGCTGTGGCAAGCATTACCGCGTCCTGTGTGCAGGAGCCATAAGAGTGCAAACCCATGCAGCGGAATAGCGGAGCGCGGGACGAGAGCGGAATCAATCATGAGCGAAAACTGTGGAACGCTCGTGATTGGTTCCGCTCTCGTTCCGTGCTCCGCTATTCCGCTATATGGGTTTGCATCCTAATAGCGTGTTCGACTGGCTCTGGGTTAATCGCTCCGAGAGCGATTAATGACGTCATAAGTCTCTACTAGCCAATCATAAAGCTTATAAGTACTTGTTCGACCAATAAACGTAGGCTGAATAATCCAGAGTGGGTTAACCCAGAGCCAGTCGAACATGCTATAAGTTCGTCTTGTTTGCTTTCGTGCTGAAAGCATCATTCTAGATCAATTTTTCCAACCTCTTGATAAAGCGGCACACGGTGCTTGTTTTCATGCTGGATTATTTGCTGGATGCAAATACTCTGTTTTGATTGGTGCATTTCCATCCATCTTCAGAAATGCACCAATCAAAACAGAGTATTTCCATCTGCAAATAATCTAGCACGAAAACAAGTACCATGTGCCGCTGGCTTAAAATGAAATTAGCCTATGAATAATGATCTAAATTATATATCTATCTTTATCTAATTTGAAGTAGAAACAGTCATTGGCTATATTTAGCAGACTCAACAGTTGCATAACAAGTGAGCAATTTGTCAATGTAATTGGACTAGATTTAAGAATTTAAGGATTTAACAGTAAGAACCAATAATCGCTGATTGCTCACTGAGCGCTTTTTCCGTCCAATGATTAACTACATATAACACGTTCTTATGTACGGAAAACAAATTTCTTCTTTCCCTACATTCACACGCAAATCCATATTATATTTATATATATCTTATTTACTTCTCTGCGTACTGCATACTGTGTTACCTGTTGAAGCGCGCCAAAACTTTAACTCCACACGTTTTCCTCAGATATACGTTACTGCGATCGCTCCTTTACCGTCGCGCATGCGCGCGAAACGCGACCCGGACCGAAATATTGATTACACCTCGCGCGACTACACTCTCGATACTTTCACATACATCACGGTGTCGATCTGCCGTGGCTGTCATTCGGCGCATTCGCCGTTAGTTTGCGCGTCCTGTTCCCTTATCAGATGTCAGGGAATATAAAGCAGGAGCAGCTGCTTATCGATGCGACATTCAAAAGCCTCGTAACCAAACATCATCACGTCATTTCGTCGCGAGTGCGAACGTCTGCGGATGTCTCTTGGTTACACGCTGCACCTGATTGCTCAGCTAGATCGATAAACGATCCTACTTGCCGTCACCGTTCATACACGCTCTGGCGACTGCTTCAGTCGCCAGGATCCGTAATGTCGGGTGAGCACAAGACGGTGATTAAGTATCCCTCTGAGTACGTTAAACTAAACATCGGTGGCTCGCTTCACTATACCACCATAGGCACCTTGCAGAAACATGACACGATGCTGCGCGCTATGTTCAGCGGCCGCATGGAAGTGCTCACTGATTCCGAAGGTAAGACCTCTCGCGTGGATGAATCACGATTCAGATTATTCTCGAAGCCCTTAGGCCCTTATTTTGAACTCGCTCTCATCGATAAAAGTGCCTCTCTCTCTCCTTCTCTCTTTCTCTCTCTTTTTCTCTAAGTGTGCTTATGAGCCAATCAGAAGGCTTATAAGTCACATTTAGAGACATTTTTATCCATAAAAGAAAGTTCAGAATAAGGACCGTAGTCTCTTGAAGGGTATACATATGTATATAGATATATAATCTGGAAAACGGTCTTGTAACTTTTATTCTCAAATCGCTCGAGGACGAAGTCGATTACTTCAGGTCTGTTCTTTTTAGTTGAACTATGTTTCACTTTTCTGCCTGTTTCTATCAACATCGATTAATCTTAACCTGAGATAAGCCTTTGTCTGAGTAGAATTTAAACTTTGGTCAAGCTTTAATCGACGTTGGCGGAAACGAACATTAGAGAGTGAAACTAGCACATATACAAGATAAATGTCCCAATAATTTAACATGTAAGAAAGCATAATCAATTTTTTTATTTTTATTAAGTATAATGGATTACTATAACAAAACGTTTATATAAAACTTTGTTAGTGATTGAGAGATAACAAGAAATAAAATAATAAATATCAATTATAATTTTAATAAGATTAGATAATGCCAGTTGTACCAGTAATTAAACTGGAAAATAGATCATGTTCTAATTATAGAATAATAGAGACTTAGGCCTGTATTTTGAGTTCTCTTTTAACGATAAATGAGCCTCTAAAAGAGGCTTAGGAGCCACCTGATTGGCTGAGAAGCTATATTTAAGACACTTTTATCGATAAAAGAAGATTCAGAATGTAGGTCTTAGTAATTGAATAATCATTGAATAATATTATACAAATTGACATATAAAGAAATATCTTTTAATAAAATTTCAAAGACTTTCTTTTTTAAGCGATGTTAGATACAAATATATTATTAATGTTCTAATCATTGGGATAAGGTTCAATTATTGAGACACATACTTAATGTTAAACTTAGCATTGAAGGGAACAGCAGTATGAATTCAGCTAAAATGAATAGGGAGACGATCATGAATCTTTCTCCAAAGTAAACTTGTGAACATTTCCATATATTTTCAAGATTAGATTTTTTACTTTTTACACTAAGAGAAAACATTTGTAATTGACACCTAGGCCTGTTATTTTGTAGCGTGATTTTATATCTAATGATCAATTTGACTGGACTAGTGTGCACTAAAACCGATGTGACAGGTTGCGTTTAGTAGAAGAAACTGCTTTGCAACTACTGTAAAATTTTTGAATCTGATTGCTATATGCTTTTAGATTCAGTCAAAATTATAAGTATATCCTGTTTTTAACTGTTAATTTACTAAGAGGTTTGAAAAATCTGCCTTTAAACGACTTTAAATATAAGAACAAATTATAAATATGGCTTAAATATTAAAATAAATTACTAGTGCTCACTAGTATATTCAGTTGAATTCGCCATTACTTATTTGTCACATTTATCGCATTTCCTCGCTCCACAGGTTGGATATTGATTGATCGTTGCGGCAAACATTTTGGAACGATTCTTAATTTTCTACGAGACGGTTCAGTCCCGCTTCCAGAAAGCACGAAAGAAATGGCGGAATTGCTCGCCGAGGCGAAATACTATTGCATTAGCGAGTTGGCTGAGTCCTGCGAACAGGCGCTCCTACGAAAGGAGCGCGAGGCTGAACCCATCTGCAGGGTTCCTCTCATCACCTCTCAGAAGGAGGAACAGTTACTTATAAGCAACACTACCAAGCCTGTGGTCAAACTGCTCATTAATAGGCATAACAATAAATATTCTTACACAAGGTGATTAAATTCTATCTAATAACATTTAATATCATGTAGAATGTTTAATAGTATTTCATATAATTCTCATGACGTCCATTATGTTTCAAAAATGTTCTTGAAAAAAGAAGATTGAGATTGCATGATGACACATGCAGGGTGAGTCATCTAATATCGGATTCTGAAATATCTCTGTGTTTTTTATATCAGAGGAAAATATGTAAGAAATTGTGTGGTTTTTTAGAAGAGATAAATATTGTGATCCTCCAAAAAAATCCTAACTACACAATTTATCCCTTACACATTTTTCTTCAATATAAGAAACAATGGAGATATTTTTGAATCTAATATTAAGTGACTCATCTTATATATATAGATTAAACATTTTTTCCACAGAATAAAATTGGCATGGGCACTTTTTGACAGAGCAGAAAAGCTATCTTGGAGCCTATTCTTTTCTCATATATTCCTTTTCTAATATATGTAATATAGCACAGTTTTACAAAGAATATATCTAAGTTAGAGTAAGATAATCTCAAAACAACTCTTTCACTCTGTCTTAAAATGTTGATGACAACTTCATTCTCTGCTATAGCAGAAGTATATGAATGTTTAGTTTATGTATATATGTCATTGAGAGGCTACAATAAATGAAAAATGCTCGAAGGTGGCCAGATTGTTTAAAACGTAATAGTAATTGAACAGTAATGAAATCTGTTGAAGAAATTGCATTGATACAAACATAATTTCTACAGTACGTCAGACGACAATCTACTAAAGAACATAGAGTTATTCGACAAGATGTCGCTCAGATTCAGCGGTAGAGTATTATTCATCAAGGATGTTATTGGCTCCAGCGAGATTTGTTGTTGGACATTCTACGGACACGGTCGTAAGGTGGCCGAAGTTTGCTGTCATTCAATCGTTTACACAACCGATAAGAAGCATACAAAGGTAATATCGCGCGTATAGCGATATACTTAGTCATCAGTAGCTTTGATGATTACGGTGTGAATAATACTCTCTCCAGGTTGAATTCCCCGAGGCTCGGATATACGAGGAAACGTTAAACATTCTGTTGTACGAGCATCGGAATGGCCCGGATCAAGAGTTAATGCAGGCAACGTCGTCGCGCGGTGCGGTTGGCAGTGCGCTACCATGCACATCCGATGAGGAAGAAGGGGAGCGTTCAGGCTTGGCGCGCCTTCGCTCCAACAAGCAAAATACCAACTGACCCAATGTTGTCCTCTTCAATCCGTCTCATCCCGCAATCCTTAGCGTCGTTCGCTCTTTTAAAATATGTGTCAATATAAAGTAAGACAAAACTCCAAACACTTCCGAACCCCAAACGCTTTGTTATCGTATTTCGACTGAATTTTTGTTTCTTTTTGTTGCGCGTGTCAACAGAACGTCACGAGAAAAGTGTCAATTTTGATCAAACAACACGCTATCTCTTACACACACGTGCGTACACATACACTTTGTTTTCATACACAATTACTCTACTCCAATTGTTTAATATGTATTCATGAGAACTACCGCACGACCCCCCCCCCCC